CTATGGATATGACTGAGGTGAGACCCCACAGGGCATCTCATCCAGGCATCTTTGGCCAGAAGCAGTGTGGAAAGGCACTTAGATCAGAGAAGTGGACTGAGACTTTAAAGAGAGGGGAACAAACAGCAGAGAATGTGTTGGATAGTCCTGAAAGACTGCTCATTTTTGGTAAATGAAATGTCTGATGGGTAGTGGGAATTTAAGGGGTGGAATTCAAAAAGTGTTTTTTCCAAATCTCATATATCCAGTTTTTCAACAGGATCCACACAAGTGCCTAGAGAGGCAACCTCTGGTTCTTAAGGAAAAAAAAATAAATCTGTACAGAGTTAAAAGATACTCTTGAGTAACTTAAAATAATGAAGTTCTAGAACATTGAAGCTTTGAGCAAATTAAAGTTTCACCAGCTGGACGCACTGTAAAAAAATTGGACTAGTAGATTTCATAGAACTAGAATTTTGAATTAGTAGATTTCATAGAGTGAAGGAGAAATACTGACTAGCAATGTCAACAGTGACAGTATGATGTAGGAAAATGCCCTTTCTTTGCAGATCTGAACCAACATGATGCATTTTTTCAGCATCTATAGAATCAGAACAGTTGGGTTGGTTTGGATGTGTGAATGCTCCAGCCCAAATATGTTATTCACACTGATTACATTTGCATATGAGTCACATTCAGTTTTGACTTTGTCAGATGTCTGTTTATGTTTGTTTAAATAATGAGATCATCCCATGAAGTGAACAGGACCTAAAAATATATAGAGAATACTGTTTGGAAAAGCGGTATTTGAAATATTTTATGAATTTTCCCATTTTGTGGCATATTATGCAAGCAGGAGCACAGCAATGTGGAGGCACCCTTCAAAAATGCAGTGCCCATTGCTAACAGTTCATTAAACAGTATGTTATATAACAAAGCTTCATTTGTTTCTATTTCCCAGCCAAGCCAATTTTCCCATTAACAAGCATATTCTCCTTATGAATACATTCAAATGTACCATTTTCAAAGCCAGCATCATTTGTTGGTTTTCTTTGTGTTGTATGAAGATTCCAAGCCTTTCTGGATTGTTTTGGTATTTACTGTAGCACTGAAGATTTTTTTAGAATGTCCTGCTCAAGGCAATCCATATTCATAAACTGAGCAAACAAGGGGGAACTGAATTCTCGAGCTCTGTGTTATTGCAGTTACACAAACTTTTAACAAGCGATAAGCTTTTCTTATGCACAAATGGAGACTACCAACTAACCACTTGAATTCAACACTGGCTCCTCAAATGTGTACTTAATTCATCTGAGACTTTTAAAATCTTGCTCAAGCCTGAAGAAATTCTGGTTTGTTTGTGCTGCAGCCAGTCACTACACACATTAAGCATTTACTTTAGTAAATCCTATGCAATTTGAGATTGCAGCTTTGGTAAAGAAAGTTAACAGCAGCATATCAGAACATACATCTGGTGAGGTATTCTGGTCTCTTTAAAGCAGAATTTGCAAGGAAGGGCTGCAAGAAAAGAGAGTTTAGCTAAAGCTCGTGATCAAAGCTCAATAAAGAACTATCTGGGAGTATAATGATATAATATGCAATAAAAGGAAAACACTAACATTCAGTTTCATGCTGAGCTTCTCCGATTGATACACCTATAGACGCAAGAGAATCTGATGACATGTGAGAATTATAATTAGAAAAAGAGGTATCTCATGTTCTTTCTTAACATGCAACAGATGATATTATGTGAACTGTGCTATATCTGTGCATTCATTCCCCAAAGAAATGTGGATCACAAGCACATAAAAAAATCTGCAAGCTTCCCCAAGCAAAATGTTTTGGTCCAGAAGATTTGAAGGAGGCAAAATAATTTTCAAATTAGATAAAATGGACCAGCACAATAGAGTGGGCTTTTTTTTTTTTTGTTCATTTGTTCCAGACTCTTCCAGCTACAGCTTGTTTAGAGATTAGTTTGCTGTTTCTTCCATTCTCTTGTCAGTAGCAGCTGTTACTTGAATATATCAAGAACAGACTTTTCTGACATTTATTTGAACTAGATCTGCTTTAAAATCTGTTGTAAATCAATGGTATTAAAAACGAGATTCACTTAATAAATTATAAAAAGAATTTAATATAAACAAAAGACAATTAGGAGACAAAAGAAATAAAGCAAAGGGTTAAAACGGCTGGGTGCCCTGGCGGGTTGCCAGGAACACACCTGGTAGCTCGGGAACACTCTTTTTATCCCCCCCTGCTGTGAAGGTTTAATGCATATTCAAAGCGTCCCCTCCCTGGTTCCGCCTTCTTGGATCATGCTTTTGTACAGTTTTTATTTTCTGCTGGTCAGCATTTATTTTTGCTGGTCATCATTATTCTTGCTGATGAGCATTATTTTGGAGTTTGGTTTCCTTTCTTTTTGCAAATGGTCAGGGTAGATAACCATCCGGGCTCATCATCCTTCCCCTGAGGGCAGCTGTGCTTCATATCTTCTGCTGATAACAGTTTGGGCTCTATTGTTCTCCTGATAAGCAGCTTGGGCCCCACTGTCCTTGCCCTCTGGGGTTTCCTTGCCTTGTACCTAGGAAATTCTTTTAAGCTTAAGACTTATTAGCAAGAAAAAAGTACATACATAGCTAAAAAGTATTTAACGTATAAGATCCATCTGCGAAAGCCAATATCACGATACAAATTTGTAACAGTGGGCTAGGTTCTCATAAGGTTGTGTGTGGAGCCCTAATGCCTGCTTTTGCAGAGAGATGCAAAATTTTGAATAGCTGAAAATTTGCAGTAGAAACACAGGCAGACCAAGTTGGATGGGGCTCTGAGCAACCTGGTCTCTGCCCATGGCAAGGGTTTGGAACTGGATGCTCTTTAAAGTCCCTCCCAACCCAAAGAATCCTGTGATTCTATGCTTCTATTACTGAATGAGAGTTTTATGATTGTGTGGTGTTTAGAAAATATGTGTGTGTTCTGCTGGTGACTAGATTTGATATTGAAACAAATTGAAACAAACTGCGAAAATTTTCCAACTTCCTGGTTTTGCATAAATTAGAGGAACTTACAGAGCAGAGAAGCACAAGGGTCGTAAAAATGTTTCTGTTTGTGTATTAAATCACAGTGCTGCTGTGATTTTATCCTGAGTGCATTTTCAAAGTGAAGTGGGAAACTGTCACTATCCTTGCCTTGCATTCTGTGTTGATATTTAGAGCAATCAACTGGACTGCTGATCGATAAACATATCAGTTTTTGTTGAAAGTTGTCATTAAAACTTTGAGTCCGAGATATGTGAATCAGTGTCTTGGTTCTAGAAGACAGGTGTCTGCTAGGGAGAGTAGGAGCCTCCCTTGGGATGAAAGAATGTAGAGCCCCTCCCTCCGAATTATTATAATTTTGAAATCAAGGGCCCCTTAGGCAGACATCTGGGGATAGGAATAGTTCTTTACTAGTATAACCAGGCAAACAAACAACAATAACTACAGCAATAACAAGAAAACAGAACCAGGGACCCCAGGACAGCCTTCTCGGCTGAGACGGAATGGAGGAGAGGCTTTGTTTTCACAAACCCCCTTGGGCAGTCAGTCCCGGTGCTCCTGCAGGGCTCTGAGGAACAGTCGGCTGGAACAGCAGGGATGAGCAGAGATCCTGGGCTGGTGGCTGAGGTGTATCAGCAGCTCCGCGATGGTGCCTGGCACTGCCACACGTCCCGGCAGGGCAGGGGGTGCGAGGCCACCAACGAAGAGGGAAGAAGGAGAAGAAGCAGCAACTCCGTCTGGGTGATGGCGAAATTCCCTTCTCTCCACCCCAACAGCTCCGCGACCCAGCAAAAACGAATGTCTTCCCCCGAAAGCCGAAGAAAGCCAGCCAAAAACTGTCCCCACCCTCCTTTCCTGCCCCTTCCCCCCACCTGGGCCCGGCCACTCTTTGTCCTCTGTTGAGCACCCACTAAATATCCACAGTTAGGTTGTCTCCGCAGCTAATGGGTAAAAATTCCACGGGCAGGCCAGAACAACAAAACAAAACAAAAAAAAAAATAAAAGGACACCTAAAAATAAAAAAAAGGACACCTAACTCTCAACAGTCAGGATATATCTTTTGAAAAACCTTCAATTTTCCATTGCATTTGAACTTGTGCCCAATAATCTGACAGAAATGCTGACTTCTTCAAAATTCCATTACTTCCTTTCCCTTCAGTGGCATAACTCATGACATATTAGCCTTGTACCACTACCTTTCAATCTTACCTTGTGTTGCTGTTATATGGGTATTTAGTTGAATTTGGGCTGATTAAAGGATAGTCAGATTGAAAACATCTCTCAGTTGTGATAATATTTGTGTGACATCTGAACTTCAACATTGAAATGGAAGGAATTTTGCAGTGCATTTTATTTATTAATTAATGTTTAAAAAATTCAAATGCTTTTCAGTAAGCCATATTTTTGTCATTTATATGATAATCTGGCAGATCTTGCTATAGCATTATCTTTTTTTGGTGGGGGAGATTGTCAGTACTGCAAGGATATATTTATATATAAATATATAGTTCATGTTGTTTGGCATTAGGGGATAAAATGTAGGAACAAGCAACATAAATAGAAAACAAGTACTATAACATGCTGCCATTTAAATTACCAGTAGGCTTTGAACTTTTGAAGATGCAGCTATATGTAGTGATCACTTTAAACCTGAAGCAGTATGTTTTATAAAAGCAACAGTTGTAATTTCTGTGGGGATTTACCTAGCATGGCAGTTAGGCTGTTCAGCATTCTCAAACAGATCGTGTAAAATTTGACAGCTTCAAAGTTACTTTAAGCCGTATGTACATCTTATTTTGGAGAAACTCAAATACTCCATTGAAACATTGTTACTAAATTATACACATTGAAATTATTTAGGTTCTTTGGTTGATGAATTTTTGTTGTTGAATATAGTTGGACTTTTGCTGACCTGGCAAAAAAAATGGCATTTTTTTGCATGTTTTCTTAAAGTTGATTGATCTTTTTTTTCTTTCATTTCAACAGCTTGATGAAGTTGTCCGTCAGAGAAATCTGCATAGTTTGGAACTTTTCCTTTCATGCGCACAGAAACAGTTAAACGTTTTATTAAAGGAAGAGTCAACCCCAGAGGAAAACAGAGACTGACATTCTCAGTGCTGATGATACAGTGTGACTTGTGAAGCTGCAAATCTCCATCTAGCAAATGATGAATATATTCCAATCTTTTTGGATTGTATCATTGAGTCAAGATTGATCTGAAATGCTTGATAGAAATGTTTGTGGATGATGTTCTTCTATTTATTTATTTATTTCACTACTATAATCAGATAGCAAATATGAGAGGGAAAAAAATCCTTGGAAAATAATTTGTTTTATTTAGGATTTTTAGGATTTTGCTTTCATTATATTTTCCAGTAGCCCATGGTAGAAATTCTAGATAACTGCAGCAATGACGAAAACATTTCTCTGTTGTGTCTTTTAAATTTGTTAACATGATTCACCATTATTTTTGATATTTCAAAACATGGAGACAAACATTTAGTTGATTATAGGTATAAGTCCACCTCTAATTCCAAAGTAATATTCCAAGTCCATTGCCTCAGGAGAGCCTGAGTAGCTTATTATTTCTTACTGCTTTGATGTATAACAATAGAATCAGTACTGTGATAAATATAGCATTGGATAAAAATTCGTGAAGGAGAATAAAGAATTATATATTATATTTGTAATACTGTAAAGATACAAAATGTAAAATAATCCAGAGATTCCTTCCCGAGTCGGACAGTAACGATCGATGGCGACGCTTATCAGCATGAAATAAAGAGCAGGACACAGGCAATCAAACTGGACAATAAGAGTAGCCCGGTCGAGATATCCATCTGCTCCGCACCCAAACTGGCCACTCCGCCCCGGGAGATGCAATCAGAAGACACTCAGAGCCATTCGCATGTGAAAGGACTCTGCTCCACCGACCATTGACTCAGCTCAACAGATCCGGGAAGTCTATTCACCCACACATCTAGACTCTTTGTTGGACTGTGCCCATCCCGGGTTTTGCCTCAGGATACAAAAATCCTTATAAAAACCCCGGACCTCAGTCCCTTCCTCGTGGATTTGGGAAATCTGTACCTCTGGGTACAGACCCCTGTCCACCCGGCACTGCGCTGATTAATTTATTGTGGTTTTTCTCCCGTTGCTTGTGATTGAAATTGTTTTATAATAAATCGCTTTTTATATTAACCCTAATTTGCCATTGCATTTATAACAGATTGGTGCCGTGACTCGGATCGGAGAAAACTGCGGGGGAATCTCACTGCCCAGGAAGGGTACCCCCGCTGATTTTGGCGGCCTGGTGAGTTGAGAACCCCCGTAGCTCATTCCGACATCCGAACTAAATTTAGGCTGAGATAAACCACAATAAAAGGGAAACGGATCCGGAGCAGAGAGCTTGGGAAGGCACGGAGCCTTCGGGAAGCCACGGCTTGTTTTGCTCGTAAAACGTCTGTTGTGCACAAAGACATCCACGCAGGAAAATAGCTGTAAGTACTGCTGGTTGAGTGGGTGATCGGGCGAGTGTGTGAGACATGATCTGATCACGGGGTGAGTGTGGACTTCAAGGCCGCATTTCCATACTCCCTTGAGGGAATTGGCCGGCCGCAAAAGAAGCGATCCAAAGTGAAAGCTTTTTCTCAACACGCTTGTAAAAACCTGAGATGAAAGGGCGTCTCGGGGGACTGATCACAAGGGACTAAAAGGGGAAGGATACGTCCTGTCGAGCTCGGGAACTGGTAAACCCTTTTAGTTAA